TGGCTGGAAGTATCCCAAGAATTGATGGCCTGAAACCCTCACGGCATCATTTTAAAACTTTTTGAAGGTGATCTTTGAGATTAGAATATCAAATTCTACTAGTTCAAAAAGTTTCATTCCATTCGGGTGTAGTCGATGTAAACTCTGGTGCACTTTCGAAAGAATCACCCATCAAGTAGTTTTATGTATAGTTATGTTCAGAAATATACCTTCTCTCCTATGTCGGTATTTGTAGATTATACGTTTCTACAAGAATAATATAATTGAGATAATGTTTTCATTATCAACAAAAGAAAATATAATTCGATTTAAATCACTTTAACAGAAGTATAACATTATAATTATATAGACACTTCTTTAATTCTTTATAGGTGGTAGTATTATTTAAAAAGTTTTTCAAAGAAAAAAACAAACAAAAGATGGATGTAACAATCAATTGTGATATCGGAGAAAGTTATGGAATATGGAAAATGGGTAATGATGAAGAAATTATGCCACATATAGACTTGATCAATGTTGCATGTGGATTTCATGCTGGTGATCCAAATGAAATGAGTAAAACAATAAAACTAGCCAAACTCTATCCTCATATAAAAGTTGGTGCTCATCCTGATTTACCTGATTTGTAAGGATTTGGCAGACGTGAAATCATAATGAATCCAGATGAAATTGAAAATATGATTGTTTATCAAGTTGGTGCTTTACAAGCATTTTTAAATAAAGAAAGCTTACCTTTACATCATATTAAACCTCATGGTTCATTATATAATATGACTGCACGTGATGAATTGAAATGTGATGCTTTATGTAAAGCTATATTACAATTCTCAAATAATCATAATGATATTAAACATATTGATGATGAAGTTATTGACGAAAACAATAAGATAAAATTAACTGGTTTAGCAAATAGTTATCATGAAATTTGTGCAAAAAAATATAATATTCCATTTATATCAGAATTTTTTGCAGATTTAGAATATGATAATAAAGGAAAATTAATAATAACACGTAAACATGATCCTATTAATATAAATAAAATAATTAAACATGTTGAATTAGCATTAAATGAAAATAAAATAATAGCAAATGATAATACAATTGAATTAGTTTTTCGATTTAAAACAATATGTATACATTCTGATACACCAAATTCTGTAGAAGTTGCAAAAACTGTAAATGATATTTTAAAACAATGGAAAATAAATAAACATATGCAGGAAAATAATAATATTAAAATATTTATAGCAAATCGAGGTGAAATAGCTATTCGAATTATTGAAACATGTAAAAGATTAAAATTAAAAACAATTACTATATATACTGAACAAGATGAATATTCTCTTCATACATTAAAATCAGATGAATCAGTATTAATATCAAATTATACAAATAGTGATGAAATTATAGAAATTTGTAAAAATAATAATGTTATTGTTGTACATCCTGGTTGTAGATTTTTAAGTGAAAATTATGAATTTGTAAAAATATTAGAAAATGAAAATATAATATTTATAGCACCAAAATCATGAATTATTCAAAATTTTGGTTTAAAACATTATGCTCGTAATTTAACTAAACAACTAAATATACCAATTATTCCTGGTTCAATAAATTTATTACCAAAAAATGATGATAGTGACACTATTCAAATAGCCAAAAATGATATTAATCATATTGGTGGTTATCCAATATTAATTAAAACTACAGGTGGTGGCGGTGGTATTGGTATGCAAATTTGTAATAATGATAATGAACTTATATTAGCGATAGAACAATGTCGTAATAAAGCATTATTATATTTTAATAATAATGATATTTATATTGAAAAATATTATCCTAATTGTCGTCAAATTGAAATACAAATATTTGGTAATGGTAATGGTGAAATAATTCATTTAGATGCTCGTGAATGTTCAATTCAAAGAAGATATCAAAAAATAATTGAAGAATCACCTCCACCTTTTTTTTCTAAATAATAATAATAATATATTAGATGATTTATATAATAGTGCCATAAAATTAGCTCAATCAGTAAATTATTATTCTGTTGGTACTGCTGAATTTTTATTAATTGATAATGGTTCTAATGATAATGATACTGGTAAATTTTATTTCTTAGAAATGAATACAAGATTACAAATTGAACATGAAATAACTGAAATGATAAATAATATAGATTTAGTTGAATGGATGATACAATTAAGTTTAACAGCTTATAAATTTCAATTTAATCATTTATTATTCAATAATATAATTGATTTTAATAATCATATTCAATATATTTATTTACCATATGGTCATTCAATAGAAGTACGTATTTATGCTGAAGATCCAAATCATGATTATATACCTTCATCTGGTTTAATTACATTTATCAAATGGCCAAATCATTATCATTGGTTACGTATTGATACTTGGATTACTATAAGTACAAAAATTACTACAAATTATGATCTTTTACTTGCTAAAATAATTGTCTATGGTAATAATTGTAATCATACAATTAAAAGAATGAATAAAATTTTAAATCAATTAATTATTTCTGGTCCAATTACAAATTTAGATTTACTAAAAATTATTTTTCAAAATGAAAATTTTATTATTGGTAATACAACAACAAAATTTATTAAATCAATTAGTTATATACCAAATTGTATTTATGTATTACGAGGTGGTACAGAAACTACAATACAAGATTATCCATGACGATTAAATTTATGTGTATATAGTATACAACCATGTGGTCCTATGGATCAATTATCTTTTCAATTAGCTAATTTAATTGTTGGTAATCAATTAAATACTGAAACATTAGAAATTACTCATTATGGACCTAAAATATTATTTTATAAATCAATATATATATTGCAATTACTGGTGCTTTATTTAAAATTGAATTATTATTACCTAATCCAAAATCATTATTAGAATTACCAATCAGTGCAAAATTATTTATACCTTCAGGTTCAATACTTGATATTCAATCTGTTATTAATACTACTCATAATGGTGGCTGTCGATGTTATCTTGTTATTTTAGGTGGTATTATTGATGTACCTATTTATTTAAATTCAAAATCAACTTTTATATCTTGTAATGCTGGTGATCATCAAGGTAGAGCTTTAATAAGTGGTGATCTTTTACCTTTATTCAATAATAATAACACCTTAGATGTTGATAATAATAATCATTTTGAAAAAAACATTATAAAATTTGTTATACCAAATGATATGATACTAAAATTTACAACAAATTGGGAAATACAAGTTTTATTAGGACCACATGGTAATTCTGATTATATTGATAATGAAAAATCTAATGGATTTATTAAATACAAAATGGAAAGTTCATTTTTCAAGTAATCGAATGGGTATAAGATTAATTGGTCCAAGACCAAAATGGAAAAGATTAGATGGAGGTGAAGGTGGTTCACATCCAAGTAATATACATGATTGTGGTCATGCTCTTGGTAGTATTAATTTTACTGGCGATATGCCTATCATATTAACTGTTGAAGGTCTAACACAAGGTGGATTTGTTTGTCCTTTTACAATCATTTCTTCTGATTTTTGGAAAATTGGTCAATTAAAATCTGGTGATACAATAATATTTAAACCAATTATTATAAATCAAGCATTAAAACATAAAAAATTAATAAATCATTATTTAAATTATATTAAAAAATTATTAGATTATTCTTCATTAAATATACCAAAACCAAAACATTTTAATAATATTAATAATTTATTATTATATAATCATTATTATTCTTATAAAAATGAAGAATTTAATATAGAAAATAATTCATCTTTATTATTAGAATATAAACATAATGATATATTAATACAATATCGTCAAGCTGGTGATTGTTATTTATTAATTGAATATGGTGATTCAAAATCAACTATAAATTTATTATTATGTTTACGTATACATCAAATACAAGAATATCTTGGTCTTATGACAGATTTAAAAACAATGAAAACTAAACCCATATTGCATGGTTTAATTGATTCAGCACCAGCAATTCATTCATTACTTATACGTTACGATCCTATTCATTTATCACAAAATATGTTAATAGAATATTTACAAAATATAGAAAAATGATTACCATTTCATAAAAATATTAATTTACCATCAAGAAAATTATATTTACCAATAGCATTAAATGATCATTGGAATAAGGATGCTATTCAATATTATATGAAAACAATACGTTCAAAAGCAAATTATTTACCAAATAATTTAAAATTTATTGCAAATAATAATGGTATTATTGATGATAATGATATTGAACAAATATCAAATATATTATTAGAAGCACAATGGTTAGTTATTTGTATTGGATTTTGTCTTGGTTGTCCATTTGCTATACCAATAAATCTTAAACATAGATTATCTGTACCAAAATATAATCCAGCTAGAACTTATATACCTGATGGTTCTTGTGATCTTGGTGGTAATTATATGGCAATTTATCCTATTGAAAGTCCAGGTGGCTATCAATTATTTGGAAGAACAATACAAACATGGTCAACATTTGGTACAATTGGATATCCATTTACAAATTATCAACCTTGGTTATTGAATATGTTTGATATAATTCAATTTCAATCTGTTACTGAATTACAATTAAAAAATTTACGTCGTTTAGCTTTTGCCGATAAATATCAATATCAAATTATTGATTCAATATTAAATAGAAATGGAATTACTAAAAGAAATTGATTCTAATAATAATAATTATAATGAAGTATCAAATGATTCACAACAACAACAACAAAATTTACAAGAATTAGATGATAATCATAAAATTATTTATGCTATGGTTGGTGGTATAATTCAATAAATTTCCATTCATATTGATGATAAAATCATTGTTGATCAAACAATTCTTTGTACTATTCAAGCTATGAAAACTGAAATAACAATTATATCTGATTGTAATGGTAAATTATATCATATTTATATAAAACCTAATCAATTGATTAATGCTGGTGATCCTCTTTTTATTATTAAACTTGATCAATAAAACAAGAGGAAAAAACATCCTGCAACTTTGAATAACTAAATATTTCAAACTGAGTAATAGTTATAGCAATTCAATAATATTTCAACAAAGATTTCTTAGTTATTGTTTGACTATTATCAAATAGTAACAATAAATGTTTATAAGAATATTGGATTTTCTTTATATAAGTGTTTGTAGACCGAAAATTTCGTCTTGAGGGTGCGGTTTCTGGCCGCATAGAATACAAAAACTGCATCCACACTCACATCCTTGATGATACGATTTTTCTTTTGAGGTGATTCATAAAATACTCACGACGAGGACAAACGACGGTGATGTAAATAAACGAATAGGTCGAGTTTCACCCGAAGATCCTTTAATCAAGTAAATATATTCATCACTTTTTCATATTTGTTTGCCTTAATATTTTCGAAATTCGCTGATCTGATTCGAAAGAACAAAAATACCACAGATTTGATTACTTGTATGAAAAATTTTGGCGAACCTGAACCTTGGAAAATCAATATAAAACTAAGATCATCCGTTGGCAGACTCGATTGTCGCCCAAGGAACGTCTGAAGCGCACTTTTCCCATGAAAAATATTGGCTTCTTTTTGAGCACATGTGACGTCTTTATTTTTGAGTCTGTTGAAGCATGATTCAGCTTAAAAAAAGTGCAAATCATCACTGTAGTTGTTATCAATCTAAAGTACTATGAATAAACATGATGCAGTGTATTGCATCACTTATGTATGCACATGAAACTTACTCAAGTGTATCAAAATCTATTCTAAATCAACAATGGTTAAAAAACGACTTAATGAGCTTCCAACTGCTTTCATTAACAGAAATGTGAAAATCGATCTTATGAAAATTCAAATTCACTCAAGTATTGAAAAGTTGAAGATGACATTTGTGAAGCATCACAAAGAAAGTAAACAAGCTCGTCTGTTAGTTAAGTTTGCTAAAGTTCTCGTCATTAAACATCCAGTCTTATAATAACAATAAATTTATAAAAATTATTGCCCAATGAATTTTTGAATTGTCTATTGTTACCTACCTCTCAAAAATAGTTTGGCTGTACTACTACCATCGATTATTTTATGATCAGAATATTTAATAAAACATAACAGGAGAATTGACAAGTAAAGAGATTTAAAATATATTAAAATAATGTTAATCAAGTAAAAATTAGTATTTGTTCGTTTTAGTCTCTACATGTTGATTCTTATTGCGTTGTTCACTATTTTTATGAAATTGACGATTTGTATTATTATCATAGTTTCCATTGATTTTGTTCTCATGCATAGTTGGTATTGACAATGATACACTATAATGATAAATAATAGTAGATATTATTAAAATTTCATATTATTATTTATTAAAAATATAGATCATATTAACTAGTGAAAAAATGTTTTTTTTTTCTCACATTTCAGGATTCGGTCCTATATAATTTATTGTATTCGTAACTAATGATGAAATTGCTTTTGTTGACCTTGGATCTTCTTCTTCTTCTTCTTCTTCTTCTTCTTGAGAAATAACACCAATGAATGATGACGATGGAGATTCGGCTCTACTTGGCGAATGTGGATGCCTCACATTTAATGTCTGAATTGATATGAAAATTAATTTTAAGTTCAATATTTAGATATAAAAGTAATATTGATTGTGTTTTTTTGTTAAATGAATATTAGAAAAAGAAAAAAACAAACTCTCACCACAGATGAAAACCGTCTTAGTTTTTCATTGACTGACATCCAAGGATTTTGTTTTGTTATTGTTGGTGATGTTACAATGTCTGGTAGATTCATACTTTCCGTACTTGCTAAATAACGAACAGGTTGTTTTGATCGATTATGAACGTTTAATTTTCCCATCATTCTTGTTATTTTGGGAACTTGAAGATGTTTATATGTTGCGTATTCTGTAGGTACATCATCATCATTGTCAGATAACGTTGATAAATCATGTTTAGAATAAGAATAAAATATTTGAAAAAGTTTCGTAAGATATTCATTCTTTAAACGATATCTTTGTTCAATAATACGTTTGTGAAAAAAATCTTTTTTTAAAATTGTATTCATTGTATTTAAAATTAATGTAAGAAAATATTCACGAAATGATTTATCATGTTTAAATATGCCACCAGATGGTTCAACTATTGGTTCAATATCCTTACGACGCCAAATTTCAATCTGAAATTAAAATTAATTAAATTATTCTATCTTTTGATTTCTAAAAAAACGATCAAACTTTATAATAAAGATTGGATTGCTTTTGAATTGGTTGTACTATAATATAGACTTGTGTTACTTTTCCAAGAAAAAAATCTGGTTGAAATGAAAGACTATTTTCTTCTTGAAAAACAATACATATTAATGCATTAGAAATTAAACTTTTTCGCTGAATTAATTCGAGATCATTTTTATCCGATGGAATCATTGGTGCTACATTAAACATAATTTGATGATTTTGATAAGTAGAAAAATAAGAATATAGCCCATGTTGATCTGTTTTTATATCAAGATCACCACGAAATTTATTAAAATTTTTTAATTGAACAAGTTCACCAATTAAATTTAGAAAATTTTCCATTTCAATTGACATATGATTGTTACGTAATATTTCAATTTCATTTGATTGATTTAAATCTTGATAAACAATACCAACTTTAATTGAAAGTTGTTCATCATTATATTTATCAAACTCAAGAATTTTTTCATTTGCCTTAATAAATAATGTACATTAAATCATGTTTAAAAATAATTATGAATGAAAGATAGAAAACCTTCTATTCTAGAAAAATTCTCTATGTCGAATATCCGAATATAGTTAAAACTAACAATCAAAAAGCTTGTCTATTCAAATGTTTCTTGAGTTTGATTTAGACAAAAACTACAAAACAAAGTATCTTTCAATTTAAAAGTGTTTCTCAGCAAAATGCAAAGTGTGTGTATAATGTGAATCGTACTAATTAGTATGAACATTATTGAAATCCAACATTAGCAGCATTGAATTAATATTAGTTTACAACTAGTTTCCTATTTGACTGTGTTAAATTGACTAACGAATAATTTACTTCTAAGAGGTTCCTGTTAAAATGAAGGAAAGCTATGATGAAAGTTAAATATCGACGAATGGATCTTCTTTTTTTCCTCTACTAGGAGAATCATCTCGTCTCGTCGAGACTAAATAAAATAGAAAACAAAAAGTTGATATTTGTTTCTTCTATAGCACTGATACTCATTATACTTATTGTCATTCTACATTACTTGTACAAATAACAAAGCAACGTAAAAGCATCAGAAATATAGAAGTTTTTTTTAGTAGAAAATTTTGCATCATTTACATAAAAGAACAGACTTATAACACCTTTACTTAATGCAACCATTGAATTATTATTTATTTCGAATTTATCTATAAGAAGTAATTCAAACTATCTTTTCAAAAAAGGAGAAGAATTTTCCTTCTTACGTTAAAAAACGTTTAATACTTCAGCGAACTACGTTAGTATATTTATGTTTATTAATTTTCTTACTTTGATATCGTGAACAAGCTCAACCTGACAAATAGGTGATAATTCAGTTTTGTCTAATAGAAATTGTAAAATATTGTCTTCTTTTTTGATATTGATTATTCCTGATACATCATAGTTGTTCTCCTGTGTGCTTTAATAAAATAAAATAATTTAAATAAAACCTTCAAAATAGAATAATATTTAAATACTTAAATATTCTTAAAAGAAATTTTCATGAATTTTTTCTATGTTGATCGAATTGAAGTCTTTTTTTTTAATAAGAATTTTTTTCAGAAAAAGATAACCCAACTTACCGAATAATGGCTTGAACTAAATGTTCATTTTCGTCATCATTTGTTACTGAATAATAAGATGATAGTTGTCGACGTATTTCATATGGTTTTATTCTAATAGATCGAACAGAAGCTAAAAATAAACCTTCACGTTCAAGTTTACCAAAATAATTCATATGAAACTATAAATACAATGATTTTTTTTTAAATTTCGCATTGAATTTTGTATATAAATTAATTTTGCAGCTTACATGATCAAAAAATTCTTCTTCATATCGTTGCGATATACACAATGGTGCTTTTAGTTGATAATGAGGTGTTTTTTCTTGTTGACCATCGTTTACAGGTTGTTGAAAAACAAATGAAGCTGATGATAAATGTTCTTCTCCTGGGTCAGTTGGTGTCATAGTACCATTAGTATTTAACTGGTTTGAAACGACTTCATTCATATTGAATATTAATATAATCTCTAAAGATATATCAATGTGTTTTCTTCTTGTTTTCAACAAATGTTTTTCATGTTGTGAGTTACCACGTGAAAAAAAATAGTGAATACGAGAAGGTGAAACGAAGTTTTTCTGTTCTAGCAAAATCAAAAAGACAATACTTAACACTAATAGTTGTGTGTAGGTTAGTGAGGAAGGAGAAATAATGACTCATCCATCAGTAAGATTTATTCAAACGTAACCAATCATATGATTCATATACCTTATCTGACGAAGCACATTTTGATAATTTTTTATATCTTTTCTTAAAATTTATAAAATATTTTATAACTATAGGTTTTTTATTATAATGTCTTTAAGAAGTTAATATTTTGATTTTTTTTTGACTAACATATTTTCTCTATGAAATTCGTTGTTTTCTTCAAGTGACTTATTTGTATAGGTCATTGAGAATACATGTATGTAGTCATATGTTATAACTAAAAGAATATTGCTCGTACATTCAAATAGAAAAACTATCTGAACAAATAAAAGATTCTTAAAAAATAGGAAATATTCAAAGGAAACTTTCAAAGTCATCAATTTCAGAAAATCATTGTCGATACATCTGAGTCGTATATTTAGAGCCGAAAGATCTAACCACTATCGACCGTTGAGATCTGTTAGGGTGTGGATATCGGTGTAGCAGCGAACAAAGTAAACACACATACTCATACCCGATATAGACTGCTCTGTACTATTAAGAGCTAATCGAGTCGAAAAAAAAGGATTCAAGTGACTTTTTTCGATTGAAATATCTTGCCAGTTCTCGACGTAGAAAGCGACCCAATGTGTTCATACAATCACTCGATATCATGCTTTCTGATTTAGATGCAGGGATTAAAATATTAATATAAAGTCTTTCTATTCAGTAAGAAAGAGAATGATGGAAAATATTTTTATACATCTATATTTTGCACTGAGAAGAAATAATTATGGATGTTTCTTATTGTTATAAAAGTATAAGTGAAAATTGTAGAAATGAAACTTTCAGGCTGACTTCTGCTTTCATGTATAATTTTTTAGCGTAATTATCGAACTCTTGTTGAATATTTCTAAGGAAAAACCATAACATCATTAACTTACTTTTTTACCTACCCAAACATCGGATATCTTACCATTATCTTTCTGCTTGAAGTTCTGCAACAAACTAAAATTATACATTTGCTGATATTGAAAAGTAGGTTTAAGGTTCTTCTTTTTAGAGGTAAAATCTAGAACTCTCATGTTTCCTTCAGGTTAGTTATAATAATACACGATACGAAAAGTGTGAAATCTCTAAAAGACCATGTTTTTTTTTCTTCAAAAATAAACGATTCTCAACCAACGATTGAGCTGTCCACGTCACAATATATCTTGTTGGACGAAATGGAACCGTAGAATTCACTGTAATCGATATGATCATTGCTTTGAACTAGGTCGATAACATAGTTCATGAACTTTATACTTGTACAGTTATGTCTTTGCATAGAAAAATAAAAGCTACCAAGGAGAAGTTTCTCAGAAGCGATAAAATTTATTTTTTTACTATCAAGTTTTAATTTTAGACTTTTCATACAAACAAACACACTTTTTTCGAAACTTCTTACAAGTAACGCGATTTTCGACAGAATATCTAATTAGGACTAGATGATTTATTAGTAGTATCAGTAGAAGATTCAGTAGTAGAAAGGTGAAGAGAAGTCATTGATAATATTCAATAGCTGTGGGACAGGTCATCTTGACTGTGTGTGCTTTATTTTTTAGTCAGGAAGAGGTTATTTGAGAAACTGACGATTAATGATGAAGTGTGATCAACAAGTCGACATATAGAGATGGTTTTCCAAAAATGTCAAACTTTATAATGCCAACAAGTCAATCTCATTTCGTTATTTTTCACGGTCGAGATGGGTCGCATTCTATCTTGTCGGTTATGTACATTTTCTTTGTTAAAATGGTCGATTCTATTTTTTACTATTAATTTATTTTACATCCAATTTTCAAATTATTTTTGAAATTACTAATTAAGGTTAGTATTTCCAGGTGTTTTTACATCAGGTGATATCTTAATTATGCCTCCAAAAAAAGGAGGAACAGGTGCAAACAAACAAAGGCAACATTTGTTTAACTCTATTAATGCACAACAAGGTCAAACAGCAGTAGTTGATGTTGGAGGAACAATGGCGATTAGTCATAGTCCAAGAACAAAGGCTTCTTCAGGAACAAAGGCAGGCTTGAATAAGCAATCAAATTTTAGTATTGCACCTCTAATTCTAGAGGGCGTGAAGCTAAACAAACTACAATTAAAGGATGTTATTAAACAACATTTAAAGGACTTACGAATTTCTGATATTCAGCTAAGTCGAGCAGGAAATTTCACAATATATGCAATCGACGTGAATTCATTTAATCGTCTGTTAAATGAGTTGACACTAATCCTTGCAACAAATAGACAGGGTCCAGCAAAAATCTATGTGCCCGATCCATTCAACGTATAAGAGACACAGAAAAAGTCGCGTTTGTAAAAAACGTCGACATAGAAATTCCTGAAAGTCGAATAATTGAAGCATTGAAGGACGTTGGCCTTGATGATATTGATGTTGTTCGACTTATGAATAAAGTCAAAAACATGCCAACCAGGACCATCAAAATTACATTTAATGATCCACAAAATCGAAACGCATTCGTACATACTGGTCTACAAGTGGATTCAATGCATTTCTTAGCTGAACCAGCAACGCAAAATACCAAGCCGGTGCAATGTTATTTATGCCTTCAATACAATCATGTAGCAAAGTACTGCAAAACTAAGCAACAGCTATGTGCTCGATGCGGTGATAACCACCAAATGGATCAATGTACTGCTGTTTCGGATTTGTTAAAATGTTACAATTGTAAAGGTAATCACTTAGCTACATCTAATGTTTGTTCGAAATATATAGAACAAGAAAAAAGACTGCAATGTTTGGTCAATCAATATACCACGTCTTACAAGGCGGCGTTACCACCAGCATTAAATGATCTTAAAGAATTTCCATCTTTACCAAGCTTCACACATCGATCACAAGAACATCTACACAGTGATTTCTTGGATCAACTAGTCAACATTCTTTCTAGTAAAATGGAAAAGATTATTGAAGAAACAACAAATCGTCTAATAAAATCTCTCCAGCAAAGAATCAAGAAGATCGAAAAAACCAGTGCAGCAGTTGAAAATATCATCAGCAAAGACGATATGGATATCGATTCGATGTCTGATTCGGATAGCGACGATGATATCAAAGTATTAAATACCAAAAAGGTTAAACAACAACAAAAACAATCTTCAGTTACAACCAAACCTGCAAAGACCAAGAACAATCCTGCATCCACATTAATTACAACAACAACAACACAGTCACCATCTATTACCACCGATACTTCAACCAAAGCCCAACGAAAACCCAAAACAACATCTAAAACAGTCAAACGAAATCGTTCTTCCAACAGCTCGTTAGATTCCACTACAACTGATAGCAAATAATTAAAAACAAATATTAATGAAGATTAGTGTTTGTCATATTAACATCACCACCATTAGAAAACACAAAGACGAACTCCTTACCATATTCTCCAAATACGATGTCATATCTGTAAATGAAACTAACCTGAAAAGAGATCAACCATTCTCTTTGAAAGGTTACAACATTTTCAGAAACGACCGAGTAGGAAAACTTGGTGGAGGAGCATTACTTACAACCAAACAAAACATCAAATGTAGTGAAATAATTAAGAAAACTGTTGGAAAAAATGAAATTATAGCTGTTGAATTTGCTACACGTTCATTAAAGAGCGTATTAATTTCTTCGATCTATGTTCCACCAACAGCGAAAATCCAGATCAACATCTTTAATGAACTGTACAATTTAAACACCAACTGCATCATAGTAAGTGACCTTAATGCAAGATTATATAATATGGGGTCAAGAAAAACAAATGCAAGAGGAAGACAGTTACAAGAGGTAATCGATGAAGGTTATATCCACTGTATTGATGATGATAGTACAACATTTGAAAAGAATGATTATGAAGAAAAGATTGACTGGATATTAGCCAGTCAACCACTCCATTCATTAATATCAAACGTCGAAACACATCCAACAATCGGTACATTAAGTGACCACAAACCACTAACCTTCGATATACCAATTGAAACTGAACCCAAACCTGCATCTCCACGATTATCCCTTAATTTCAAGGCAGCAAATTGGCCAAAATTTAGAAGTAAATTAAATGAACAGCTAATGCTTTGGAACAAACATCGTCATATAACTTCATCATTGGATATCGAAGAATATACGTCGTTCATTACCAACAGCATTACTGCAGCAACACAAGAAGCCATACCAACATCGAAACATCTGAATACAAACATTAAACTAAGTGAAGCAACCAAGCATCTGATCCAGCTCAAACATAAAACTTATCGTAAATGGAAGAAGACTGGAGAAGATAGTGAAAAACAACAATATTATAAATACAAGGTGCTATTAACAAATTCACTTAGAAATGACAGAAAATTAAACTTTAACAATCTTATGTCGTCATTATGTAAAAAGAAAATGTATTCGGACTCAGTATGGCTTACAATTCGCAAGTTCCACAACAAGCGAATTAAACAAAGTGACTTTAACAACATAAAAAATAACAACGTGACTGCAACAACAGATAAGGTAAAAGCCGACCTATTTGCTGAATATTTTCAAAATGAAGTCTATGTTAAAGCTCCTGACACATTACCGTTTCATCAGCAGGTGACAAGACAAACGTACAACATTAAAAACGGATCTTCTAACATGAAACTAAACAAGTGGAAGAAGATCACAATAAAAGAAGTCAAATGGAACATCAAACAACTTCGTAATAGTTCCACTAGGCCTGACAACAGACACAACAGATGCTTGGAGAATTACACCAAATCACTTATCCAACATCTGACCACATTATTCAACTCCATATTAAATACGGGTTATATTCCAAGTGGATGGAAAAATGCCAACATAATACTGTTATTAAAGCCCAATAAAGACAAACAACAACCGTCCAGTTATCGCCCGATTAGTCTCCTTAGTTGCCTCGGCAAACTTCTAGAGAAAATAATCAAGCAACGACTGATGGTTATACTGGAATGGTGTAACATTCTACCAGAACATCAAGCTGGATTCCGACCTCAAAAAAGCACCTTAAACAACATCATAAGGTTAACAAAATATGCACAAAATCATCTGCATTCAATTGGTCGTCGTCGTTATGCAGCTGTTATATTATTCGATATAAAAGCTGCCTTTGACTTTGTCTGGCACGATGGACTAAATTATAAATTAAATGAATTACGTCTCCCACAATATTTAACAAATTATCCAATCTCTTTTGTACAAAATAGAACTGCTGCAATCGAAATTGAAAATATACTATCCAGACCATTCAACCTTAATAGTGGTACTCCACAAGGATCTCTGTTATCACCACTACTTTACATCATATATACGGCAGATTCGATGAATGCAATACCAGAACATACAGAACATGGTCTATTTGCCGATGACACCGCTCTATGGACATCATCAAACACAACAACAAGCCTTAGTTCCAGGCTACAACAATCCATAGATGCATTTCAAAGTTGGTGCAAATCGTGGAAACTAAAACTACAACCAACAAAAACTGAACTCGTCCATTTCACTGTACATCCAAGAAAAAAGTATAAAAATTCAGTCACAGTCAAACTAGATGATATAAACATTAAACCATCAAATTCCACAAGATATTTAGGCATTATTATTGACAAAACGTTGAATTGGAGAAGCCATATCCATCATATTGAATCGAAGATAGCTGGCCGTATAAGTCTGTTACGGTTTTTAAATAGAGCAGCTTACGAACCTAATAACAAAATAATGTTAAACATCTTCAAATCAGTTGCAGGAACTATTATCATATATGGTTATCCAATTCTCCTTACAGCCAACGACAAAATATGGGAAAGACTGCAAATTATGCAAAACAAAGCCATTCGTGCTGCATTAGGATTACCCATATATACATCCGTCGAATATATACACAAAATCACCAACATTCCCAAAATTAAAGAATATGCAGTTATACTTCTGCAACGTTATATTCAAACAGCAACATCAAACAACGACGTCGTATTAAAAAACAATTTACAAGAAATATTTAACAAACTTTAAAAACAAATCATCTACCCATGTTATATATTATATATAGCATCGTTATTATAGATCACTGTTGAGTCGACCGAATACATATAAAAATTGTTATATCGGATTCGTCGACTTTAACTTTGCAACATATACACCATTATAACAACTTCCAACGAATCACCTCTTTTCACGAGACATAAGACATTCGTCAAGCGTCTCGCCGTTTCTCTCCAGCCTACTGTAAATTTGTATTATATTTTTGCTTGTTTCTTGTGAACATCTTAATAAAAAAGGCTTTGACTCCAAAAAGTAGACAGACAAAATGTGATCGTATAAAAACTCTAATTGAATCATACTGGGTACAAGTTAAATTGCAATTTTAGGATTTTTTCTATGAAGCTTATTATTAGTATGAATAGATTTGCGCGTCCTAACAGCCCATTATCAGGTCGACATCATTTACTCAATTTTTGAAAGAAAAGCATTGCTGTAGAGATTCTAAGTATCTATAAGATTACAAGTCTACTTACTCAATGATTTTGCTTGTTGCAGTTGAATAATCATTGTTTGTACGTTTGGTACTAGTCCGCCAAGTAATGCAAACAAATCGTCAATCGTTCGCAAAACAAGATCAACATGTTAAAGACCTTGATGAGCAGTCAACGATTTACACAATAGAAGCCCCTTATGCCTTTCGATTGTGACAGAACGCAGAGCTCGTCGTTGACCGTTGAACAGTAACAGAAAGAAAATACTGTCCCATGAATCTGAGTGGAAGAAATTAAGAAAGATGATTATAGTTTTTGTTCATTACAAGTGTTCGACACAGATTTTATATATGAGTACAATAATATCTCAAAAAAAAATCAAGGTTACTTTTTCGATCGGAATGCTCATAACGATAAATTACTTTGATGTCATATTCAATGAAAACGGGAACGAATTTTAATCGAAAGAGAATTTCACGGTTTTTTTACTTTAGGTACACATATTGAGGTGCATTTTTTTTGTATCTTAAATAGTATCTTAGCTGAATGTTATGCCTTTTTTGCATCAATGAATTTCGAATTAGAGTAACTCGAAACTGTTTACTTTCTTTCCAGTAGATCATAGATAGTGACGAAATCTCACGAAATGAGAAAATATGTCATTTTCTATGACAGCGATAAACCTCATCCGTACACTGTTCATTTGGCAGCGTCGGATTTTTCAACTGCTTAAATGAATTAGGGTTAATAGGTCTATGTTAAGTCACAGAGTTCACATGAGCTTTGGATTCAAATTTGACTTTGGGACTTGCATCATCTCTAGAAATTTAGCAAGATATTGCAATAGAATATTGCTTGAGGACAAACTAACATCAAATTTAGCTCAGTTTGTGAGAAATATTCTTTTCCAGTGAAAATTGTATGGCTCCATATTATCCATTCGAACTATGCAGTCCATATCAACAATCTTTGAGGTTCTTATGCTGTCAAATATTTTTTACGATTTCATTGGCTAATCCTTGTGATCAAAACTAAGAGTCAGTAAAAGAAGAAAACATAGATTCTACTCGTTTTTAGTATTGTGTGACCTAAGAGATCAAATATTGAGGAATTAGTTGTTGAAAATACTGATTTCTTGTATATTTTATGCAACAATTTCAAAAATATGCTGAAAATATTTCTTTTTTTCCTCATTACTTTTCGGTTTCTCAGCTTTGAGCAACGTCTTAAATTCTGCTTGAAAAATATTTTTTTACATAGAACTTGTTCTTCAAAAAATCTGCAAAACTCAGAGTTGACATGTCATTGACGCGATCAAAAAGTTCATTGACCGACGAATAAGACAAAAAAGTACTATGTTCACTGGCCCACGCAATATGTGTTAAACATGATATACCAATGGGTTAGAAAAGTGATTGATAATATCTCGGTGCTGTAGACATCAGTAATGCCAGTCTTTTGTAAGTTGATTGCTGTTCAATACTAATATGTTTTTCACATTTTATTTTCATCCGACTTACTGAATTCGTTAATGTCAGCAATAGCTATATGAAGATGTTCGAGTTGTTCCATATTCGTATAGAGCTTCTTGATGATCTCTTCGCTATTGGAAGATACATTAATCATTTTAAGACATGTTAGCTTGAGAGCTACAGATTCTATTGTCTTATCAGGAACGTAATAGAAAAAATGATATGTTTGACAGGATACGTATTCATCACTCAGTGTCAATGATTGAGGTCCAAGAGGATGATGTGAATCAAGAAACAGCTTGAATAAGTAGCAGCAATCTTCAAATGTTACTGCAGTGAGATTGATTTTTGTGTAATAAGCAACAATCAAACGATGAAGATGACTTTGAGGTGTTTCGGGTGTGTAGAAAGAACGAAGCACGTCACATGGTGTCATATAACGACAAATGATGAGCAGAATCTCATTCGGTATACCGCAAAAGGTTGTCACACAATCTTGACAATGGGTTGCTGTTGATGTTGAAAAAGAAGCCAATCCTAATGAATGAATAGAAGAGAACAGAACTTGATGGATATTCAAGAATTTCTTTTATGCAATTTAAATCTATTTAGAATCTTATTTCTCAATCAGTTCAACACATTTTCATATATCTCAGAAAAGTCATTCGATCCCTTTAATAGTGACGCAAAAGACACAATATTTACCAGTGTAGTCAACGACATGTTTCGTCATGCCTTCAGTCATTGTTATTTGCAACCTAAATGAATATATATAGTCTCATTTGGTGAACCTATAGCTCGATTTAATACGAATATTGCATGAAGGCTACCCAAAATTTATTCCTCTCGTCTATCATGTTCATGCACTAGTCGAGGTACAGCAATATGTATTAGGTACATTGAATAGAACAATCGAACATAGGTGGCTACCAATAGAATGGCACTTCTTCATATTAAACTCTGCATCGTCGCTAATTGCGCAGTCAGACAAAACGACAGAATGGGAAAAAAGCGTTGGTTGGATCATATCTTGAAGACAGTGAATCCATTACAACAAGAGATGACGCCATGTACCCAAGCAGTCAGAAACAAAGAATTCACGCATTATAACAATCACTATTTTTTAACCTTTTTAACGGATTTTAACTTTCAACAAATGTCTGAATTTTCGTGTTTTAACAGGTGATACAATTTTAACTTTAACAATATTATAATGAGTGACAACAGAAATGGATGTGGGTGTGGGTGTGTGCGTGGGTATGGATGCAGACGTCGGTGTGTAGTCTTCAGGCAGCCGCCCGAAACCACACCCACACCGTCATCCACACCCACCCACACTCATCCACAATCTCCACCACACCCACACCCACACCCCACACCCCACACCCACATCCACACCCACACCCCACACCTACACACCCACACCCACACCCCACACCCACACTCACACCCGCACCCACATCCACATCCACATCCACATCCACATCCACACCCTTTTATTCAATAATAACGTCAACTTCAATTGTAAAAATGAAGCTTATTTTGAGATTCTTTATATAAAATTTAATTTAAAGTCACATTTTGAATTTAAACTACACTTTAAAGTACTTTAGAATTTTGTTTTAGAAAAATTTGAATTTTTTAATTAAATTTTCAGAACGATTTATATTAATATCTCTATTATATTTTTGAAAAAATCATTGTATTTTCAAAATAGATTCTGCAGAATCTAAAGAAAAATTGTTGTTGTGTCGATTAATTAAATAACACTCTGAACTAAATAATTTAATTCAGTTAATGTTTTCTATACAGCAATATGCGACGAATTATACTAGTGTTTTTTTTTTCTATTTTGTAGCCATTAGTACTATAGTCATTCAGATTACAACGTAGTGGGCAATAGATTTCATCGAAAGACTTTAAAATATTTTCTATTTGTGAGGATAATTGTGAATGAAACTATTTCGTGTAAATAGACAGCACCTGTAGTAATATCAAAGGAAGAAAGAATCGATTACATTTTATAGAAACAAGTGAAATAAAGGTAGCTTTCATAGTGATCAAAAGAAAGTTAGCATAGGAACTATTATTATTATTATTGCATTTTTCCTCATGAATTTTATACATTTAGGTTCGAGTTAGACAAAGAGCATTACGAGACACATAGACACAATCTATATTTTATTCAAAAGTACTATCTAACAAGATCGAGAAATTCTTATCTAAAACTGGCCTAATTGTGAAAGATTGGTTTTACTCGTTGTTTTGATACTGATTGCTATGCACTCATATAAAGCATTTGTGTAAACGAAACAAATACTTTTATATCTGACACAGAATGCTAATTTACTTTGTGTGTTTTATATTTAGCTAAGGATTCGACAAAACCTTAGAATAGAACAATAACATCCAATACTTTGAAAACTGACTTATTCTTTTCAAAAACTAATTTCGGTAGTCATCAAAATTTAAATGAAAGCCATAGTTTCAACGATTTGACTTTATGCAACTCATTTGAGTTCAATCCAGTAACTTTGGTTAGAAATATCATATCTGCGTATTGATTAGAAAAATTCGTGAGAAAAGAGTACTGATCCGTAGACTAATGAAAAACATCGTTCCTTTTAGAGAATCAGATGATATATATCTCCTTTATATTACTTGTACTGATCGATTTCTAAGTATTATTTAGTAAATTGGAGACGAATACTTCAAATGTAGTGAATGAGAACAGAAGAAACATATTCTTGATTACTTAACAATCTTTTTTTTTCGTCATACTTTATCTGTAGTTTTCCAAAACCTTATCGAATTTTTATCATCGTTCTCACATTTCTATCATCTGTAGATGTGAGGATAGGTGAAAGGCGAAGAAATAACTTTAAGATAGATTTTAGGTTCACTTCAACTGGTTGATTACTCTTTCTTCTTCTTCTTACGTGTTATTGATGGACATATTTCTTCATCTGTCATTGATATTGGATAGAAAACAGGAAGATTATAACATCGAAGATGATAAACACAAGCATAATTTGGTTCTTTACAATCATAATTAGATGACTCACAAGGAACTATTTTGAAACAATTCATAAATTGAAAGTCACACAAACCGACGTTATCAGCATCTGCCATATGAAAATAGATACAGGCAGAATTTGATGAACATCGGTCATACTGAGCTAACCGATAGCACAATTGAGATTTCACGCATGCTAATAACATATATAATTAATAGCAGAATTTTTAAAATGAAATAAGGAACTCAAACCTGTAAGGCTGAAAAGAAAGAGTGTTAAATATTAAATACCTAAAAAAGATAATAAATTTTCGAATCACCTGAATAGAACAAGTACGAAAAAACGAGTTATTTTTGTGACCATAGCCTTTCTTAAAATGAATATATATTCATCTTTTATTGCATTCGTAGAAAATTTAGAAGCAGACAATATAATATCTCAATGAATAGAAATCAATATGATTTTAACGTCTAACTAATTTTTTATATCAGAAAACGAGGCTTTGTAAACTATAAAGTGCCACTCAAGAAATATGGAACTGTTTTTTGAGATATGAGCAATCAGTAGGTTGATACCATTATTTTAAATACGAATATAAATTCTTTTTTCTTTTCAATTATTCATTTTAGAGATCTGCGGGACAAACTTTTTCGTGTTCCGAATCCCAATTTTCCCGTTCCGAAAAATCTTCAACTGTTCCGTACAATCTCATTTATCCTTAGTGATCGTGAAGTATGTAAAGATGTTACTCTGTCAAAAAAGAGAACATCTCTTTTTCGTACAACTGATAAGAGAAAATGAATTCTCTTACATGTGTGGTAAATAAATAACCGTTCATGGAATACTGTTGAGAAGGAATTAAATTAAGACTGAGGGCTTCTCTTCAACTCTTTTTTCGAGTTAAATACATGTTTTAGATGATGATTAAGTTAATAATTTACTGCTTATTAAACGAAATATGCAAACATTGAAAGAAATTTATTCTCCATTAATTGAACAAGATGGAAAACGAAAAATTAATTTAACTTTAACTAATCAACAAAAACAAACAACAGAATTAAGTTGTCGAGGGAATCTCAAGAAGTCGATAATACAGCAACTGATGAAGACAGTGATGATGAAGTGATGTAGAGAAATCTCTCAATCTTTCTTTTTTTCTGTTATGTGTTCAAATATTAATATATGTGTGTACTGGAAATAACCAATTAAACACAACCACACATTTTCTAAAAAATTCTTACGATTTTTATCAAATTTTTCTACAACTAGATCAAAATTATAATCGTTTGATAATTTTCATTATGGTTGATGATCACTTAACTATTACTTGGTGTTCTTACTTATCCAGTGTGGAGTTTTCTGATCAAAATCGGACGATTCTGTAGCAAACCCAGGATTATCACGATTAATAATTTCGACTATACTGTAAAATAATCCGATTTCAATCAGAAAACTTCATACCGATTGATCAACAACATGAAATAATAGCTTAGTCATGACCAAAAATTATCAATCAATTATATTTTTGATATTTTTTGCAGAAACACCCGATGAAAATCGCAAAAATTTGTTACTGGGTTTCATATAGAGATAAAAAATTCGGGACAAGGATTTTTTCTATATTGTCCCGTCCCGAAAATTTTTCGGAACAGTCCCCCATGTCCCGCGGGACGGGACATTTTGGGACTGTCCCGCAGGACTCTAATTCATTTACGTAAAGCTAAGTGAAATATATTCTAAACGAATGTTTTTTATTGTAAATATATTTATGGTTCTTATTATAAATAGTTTAAAGAACTCAACATATTCATCCAATAAAATAGTCGATGAGAAAATGAACCTAGTTTTAATTGATATATTAATGATAATTTTTAGATTTAAAACTTCAAATGAAATCAAATAAGATAATCTTGCTGTCTTTTAATATTTATAATTCTATACATTACTATATACAACATAAAAAATTAAATAGTATGAAAAAGTTTGAATTCAATTGGGAGCACAATTAGTATTATTGAATTCAAAACAGATAATCTATTTCAGCAATAATATCAATGAAAATACCTCTAACAAAAGATGTGGGTATAGATGCAAACAAGAAAGGCAAGGATATCCATAGTTCATATTAATGAAAGCTTTTAGTATATTCTGCCACTAGGGATATAACCAGAAGTTTTAGATCAACAGATAAACTTTGCTTGCATCGAAGAAAACACAATCAAAATCAGCAATGTCAAATTTCTATTAATCAAAAAAAAATCAATCAGGTTCAGATCTTTAGCATCAAGTCAGGTATGTTTTAGCCTATTTTTTATGTCAGTGTTTTATAACATTTCTAGTGGAGATTTAAGTATCAAAGTAAATATCACTCTTATACACTTACACATATAAATTGTAAAACTTACGTATTTTTTCGAAGAAAATAGTAAGTGTAAGTTTTAAGTTCGAAGTATAGCGGTTTCCTCTCTCCCACCCTATTACAGACCTCAGCAAACGCGCATAGACAGCTTTCGATTCTATATAATATATGAATGTATTCATAAATACTCTAAAAAAAAGCTATTTTGTAATTTAAAAATCAGGCACCAGGATATCAAGTTTCAAAAGATATACATGAATTCCATTTTTCAGCTCCATTGGAGCTGTGCTAACAAACTTGAGGGTAAGGTATGGGCTTGTGAATGTGTGTTGTAATCTTCTATTTTCTCATAAACACACCCATGCCGACACCCGCACCCCACACACTCTAACCCTTCAATTGATTCAATTATTGTTCGTTTTCGATAAAATTCCATATTTTTTTCGTTTGATTGAAAATGACCTGATATGAGTGTCGAAACGTCTAAAAATGTTTAAATGTGTTTTACCACTGTTATAAAAGATTTTTGTTATAATTCACACACATCCTTTTATATTCCAAATGTATACTCGAAGTTTTATAGTATCTCGATGTTCCTAAGCTGAGATCATTTTTTGAGGGATGGGTCTTATTACAATTCTAGCATATTCTGAAAATGTCATGCGATTTGAATATATCTGCTTGATCTTATAAATACAATTATGTTGAAACTATTTTCTTTTTTTGTTTTTATGCTTATAAAATTGATAGTAAACGTATGCAACTCATAATTTTATTTCATATAAATATTTTTATGATACATATGAAATTTAAAAAACATTGTTCGAAGATTTCTTTTTTCTAGAATTGGATAGTATATTAATTTATTTTTTATAATAAGATGTTAAATTTTGGTTTTCTTCTACTGAATAAAGCCATTCTTTTAAATTATCCATATGTATAAAATATTCAAGAGCATATGCAACTGCTTTGGTTAGTTTTTCATAAGCAAATTTATTTATATTCCATATTGTATCACATGATTTATGATAACATTGATCAAATGCAATATTTGGCATACAATATGGATCAGGACCAAGATAAGATGCATAACGATCACATTGTTCTTTTGTTTTTATTCCATCTGCACCTGAAAAAACTCCTCCTACAGGCATATTACCAATTAAAAATGGTAGATAATCACTAATCGCAGTTGTGAGATTGACATTATCCCATGGTAGATTTTCATCATTAAACCAATTACGAAATAATGTAGTAATTTTTTTACTAGCAAAAATATTTTTCGTAAGTGTTTCATTTGTTATAGTATCAAGATCATAAATTCCAAACATATAATTAGGTGAAGCTAACATATCGAGATTAAGATAAAGTAAATGATCATGAAATCTTTCGCCAATAATTATTGATGTTGTTGCTTGCGTAACATATACAAATGAACCAATAAGACCAAGTTCTTCTGCACCCCACCAACAAAATCGTATACGATATTTCAAGTTTCTATACATTGATGTTCGAAATAGAGCTACAGCTAATGCAAGATTAGCTGCACTACCACTACCTTTATCAAACGAAAAAAAGAAAACAACAACAAAATACTTGTATATTAGTATTTATTTTTAACTCGAAAACTAACCATTATCATTAATACCAGGTCCATTTAAAATACTATCACTATGACTACCAATAATAATAGTTTGAGTTATGTCTCCAATCGGAGTATCAGCACAAATATTTTCTACTGAATATGGTTCTGTTTTAAGTACATCAATAATAAAACGAACACCTGTATTTGTTGCTGAATTATTTAATGATTCAATAAGTTCTTGAGCAAGATTAGATGAAATAGAAAGTGTTGGTAAAGTATTAAATGGACCGAGACTTGTAGGAAGAGAATCATTACAATTAGATGATCGACTGATATTATATAAAAGAAGACCTTTCACATGATAATGACTAGCTAAAATTGGTTTTAAAAAAAAATCACAAGCACCATGTTTAACAAGTGCTATTCGACCATTTGGTGATGGTTTTGCAGTAAGCCAATCTTTTTCAGAACAACCAAAATTTGGAATAAGTGTTATATTAATAAAATCTTTTAAATTAATATCTGTAGAATATTCGACATGTGAAAATTCACCTTTTGAAAGATCATTTGAATATGTACGATTTATAATTGTATTAGCAATTGAAGTAAATAATATAGGATTATTACCAAGTTTAAATTGTCTTACAGAAAAAGGAGTTCTTTTTATATAATAATTTGTATTAGTAGAAAGATAATCTGCTATATAATCAATTGTTCGTTTAAAACCTTTTGTATTAATTGATCGACTACCATTTTCCATTGTAGCTATATGATTAAATTCTTGAAGATGCTTCATTAGTTCATTTATATCAATAGATTCAATTAAACTTAAATTCAATGATATTTGATTTATTAATTTTAATTCTTCTGTATTATTAATATTTTTTAATTGATTAGATCCTCTAGTTATTATAATTAAAATAATAGAATTTAAAGCAATCGAAATCAAAACAAATAAACCAATAAGAATACTTATTGTTACTAAACATGATCGACTTGCTTCCATTACTAAACAGAAATGTGTTATAATGCACGATGGAAAAACAACGGTACTACATCATGTCAAACTCTATTTCTTTTCAATAGACAGTTGTTGAAAGGAACCTATTTCTACCAAAAGAGAGAGTTTTTTTTCCTGTTCTTTCGAATCGTATATAACTTACTTAGGGTG